CGAGGGTTGTAAGGAACAGAAACAGTCTGGCACAAAGGTGCAAGGTAAAGATAGCAAAATGGCGAATAAATTGAAGTTTATCCAAAATGTCTCGTGAAATCAAAGTTGTATTTCATTCTATATTATAAAGGGATATTACAGATATGGAATGTTAGTCATATTAGGCTGGTTGAAGCTGTATCTGTGGAAAATGGACTTGACTGTGAATATTTGTCAAGATTTYAAGGTGTCCTGTGTGCTGTCTTTAATTCTATCTAAAGGTAAAAAGCACTGCGGTGATCTTAACTATCCAAATTAAAGGGGTGCTGTCATTTTTATTTTTAAACAACATGTGCGCACAGAATAAAATACCATATTTATCTAAGTATAAGACAAAAAAATTAAATCAATAAAATCATCCACAGTGTTGGAGTAGTATTATACACAGATTTTTTTTTGCTCTTGTATTTATTTATTTATTTTTTGTATATAACTGAAGTATTAGCCTGATTCACAAAATGCCTTTAGTCCAGAAATGAGACAGAGTCAGAAAAAGTGGTTGAAACAAGCTTACCTCTGACACTCCACTGTGCCCCCGAGCGAGGTAGGTACAGATCCAGGCAGATGTGAATGAATGAATGAATGAATGAATGAATGAATGAATGAATGAATGAATGAATGAATGAATGAATGAATGAATGAATGAATGAATGAATAGATAAAACAGAATGCTGCAGCTTAGTAATGATAACAAACTAATGACATTAGTGTGCGACCGGGCTGCCCCCGGAACATCAACAAACACCCAGTCGTATGTAACGGCTGCCATTCACCAGTGTTGTGCAAAAGTAGGTTTCCCCAAAAAAAGTTTCCCCTCCAGAGGGGGGCGCTCACGAGTAGGCATTACCGAAGTACAGTAATTTGTTTTTCCACCAGAAGATGGTACAAATSTCGTGCAAAGTCTCGTGAGTTTTGTGTTGACGCCCTCTAGTGGACTTTGTGTGAAGCTGTCTGATGGAACGCTTATCGYCTTAAACACCGGCATTCATGTGATGCTGCAAAGCTCAAAATCATAGAGTATGCTGATATATATTTRTTGTCAAAATACCTTTTAGTACATACGTTGTTAAAGTAAAATGAACAGTCAAATRATCCATTTACTGACATGTATAAAGACTGCAAAGGATGAAAAATCCTGAAGTMTGTATCAAATTAGAGGTAGCTTGGAGTTGTATTATACATGAGATCGTATTATACATGAATAATTATGTATGTTTACATTTTTGTGTTAATCTGATTTTGGATAAATCATCCAAATTTGTTATTGCATGTTTTAAGTATGTTTTTACACTAATAGGCCAGTTTCACTGAATTACTTTTACACAGTGGTGGGTAGTGCTAATCCAAAAATTAACGCCACAATTTCTAAAGCACTTATGAAAATATTTAGGTCCGCAACTTCACAAGCGCTTACGTCATAGAAAAAAAAGTGTAAGCTAATTTTAAAGCACAAGCTCAATTTGACACTTACTAGCTGGCAAAAATTCATGTACAATATATGCACAGTACTGTCAACTAGTGGTGTATGAACTCTTTTACCACTTAATCCTACAACTGCTGATTGCTGGGGATGTGATTTCATGAAACAGACCTTTGGCTCCTGATGTAAAAATTAAACAGTTGTTGAGGATTGCTAGTTCGGCTGCTTCTTTGTCTTTTTCTTTTGTTTGTTGTAGATTTTTCATTAAAGAAGCGTCAATAAAATAATTTTAAATCTGTTTATTTGAAAACTGAAGCGATGCATTCTGGGTACATGACAGATTTGATTGTGACTGGAAACGAAAGCACGAAGAACAGGAAACTATCTTCACTTCAAAATAGGAGCATGGTCGGATTTTAAAGTTTTCCATGTTGTTGCTCCAGTTGACCACTAGATGTCAGTCTTCACCAGCATAACATCTTTAAATCATTTCTGCGTCCCTAACCCCATTGGCCGATTGCTTTAACCAATTACGTCAAGTATTGAGCTCCAGCGTTTAAACTTTTTTTTTTTTTTTAAAAAGGAGCTCCGATTGAAAAGTAAAATAAATCAATACAAAAAATTTTGTATGGATTACAAATGTTAACTGTTTTTGCTGGGACAAGGAGTTCTAAACATTGCCTTCCTGCTACATAAGCAGACACAAAGCATTGTGGGAAATTAGAACCGTGACCCAAAGCAACAGTCAGCGTGGATGTATACGTTTCCAATAAGTGTTTATCTGGGAGGGGTGCTGTTGGACAGATCACGTGTGTTGTGATTCATTGACAGCCGTACCTTCAGCTGTTCAAGATAATGATGACTGGTAGATAATGTTATTAGCGGTACTGCATTTTAATTTTAGAAAGCGCAAATTTGCTTATGAATTATAAAAGTTAGTAAGACCGCTAAAGCACAAACGAAATATTTAGGTCTGCAATTAGCGGGCTGGTGCCCACCACTGCTTTTACTTGTTAATGTTCGTATTCTTTTGCATTCTTCATTCTAATCACCCAACAAACTGACATGTGTTTAACCGCAACGCCGCCTCCAAATGGATGATAAATCACTTGATAAGTGTAATAATGATAATAAAGAAAACGAGAATAATCCCTTCATGCTTCGCTGTGTTCCAGCAAAATGACGGGCAGTTCCCAGTAATCCAGCTGGTCGGGATGCTGAGGGGCATCGCATCTGGAATGAGGTACTGACACACAAACACACACTTATTCTGCWGAATTTTTTTTCTTTTTTGTARGRTTAARGGGGAAAAATRCACTTTTTTTCTGATCCTTCAATAAATCTGAAGCAAGGTAAAGTTTTGTCGGTATCAGTTCTTTCCTGCTGAGATTTCATTTGTTGATATTTCATACTGTGTGATCGTGGGCATCAGCAGCTGGAGATCCTCTTCCCCACTCTCTTTTCTGCACACGCACGCACACACACACACACACACACACACACACACACACACACACACACACACACACACACAAACAAACCCAGCTCTTCTGCCTTTTGTACAGTAAGCAAATATTTGCATTTAAAGCAGCACAACTTGTCGGCTTTTTTGCAGTCTGAAACCGTACGCATACACAAACACTCTCACAAACAAGATCCTATCTGTGTTTTACTGCGGGGTGTGTGATAACACACAAGCATGTACATACAGAGGAATATTAAATCCCAGTCCTGTTTTATTGAAGGTAGCTGCCAGTGATAACTCACACATAAACAGAGACACGCACGCACTCCAAATTCCATTATCGTACCCGACCGATAACGCACACCCACACAGTAAATCCTGTTGATSTTCCAGGTACCTGGCGGAGATGAGTTATGTTCACCGGGACCTGGCAGCAAGAAACATTTTGGTTAACAGTAACCTGGTGTGCAAAGTGTCCGACTTCGGCTTGTCGCGTTATCTGGAGGAGGATACCTCCGATCCCACCTACACCAGCTCACTGGTAAGAAACACAAATATAGCCTCTCACTTACACTGAAGCATTAAACTTTAAAACAGGCTGCATTTTCATCTCGACAAAAGTGTGGTACGGCCAAATGAACTGAACCCTGATCGTCAAAGAAATAATAAAACCAAACTGTCAGGAAGAATTGTGCTATTATGGGGGCTCCAGTTTTTATATTCATGCAAACTGATTGCGTTTGGTCTGAGCCTAGACAGTCAATGGGAACCTGGAAGTTAAAGCCAGATTGAGACCAGTTTATATAAATACTGAAATATATATATATATATATATATATATATATATACTGTATTTCAGATTATTTTTCAGCTGTTGTTCACATATTATTTTTCACCTTGTTTCAAACATGTTTTTCTAATATATTTAAAGTTCATGTGACATTAATTTTTGGTAATAAATATGAATGCATTTTTGGAAAGACAACATTGATAACATACTGCAAAAAAAAAAATCGCACCACTGAGATGAACAGTTGTTGAGATGTTTGCATGTGAAGTAACAGGAAGTGATGTCAAAGGGGAATGTCTGCATGTGAACAGAGCTTTGTTACGACGTATAACAACCCTGACTGTAAAAAATGATTTTGTTTCTTTAGATTATAGTCACTATCAGAGAGAGAAGAAAGGTCAGAGTTCAAATAATAACGTTTCAATAAACAAAGACCAGGGAGTTTTCTTTCTCAAAGAGTTCCCCTTTGATGTCACTTCCTGTTGCACTTCAGTTGAGCCAAGTTCAAAGGAAAATGTGCCAGTTATGTGACAAAATTGATAAAATCTTGTGTTTTTATGACATTTGTTAAAAATATAAAGATGTTTTCTTTGACATTTTGTATTTGAAGGATATACATGTCACAGGCACTTTAAGCTGCAATTCCTTCATTCCTAAAAGTGTGTGGAAGTGGGCGGGGCTTAAACGCGCCACATCCTTAGCGTACAAACTCTGGTTACAAAAATACAATCTGGCAGCTTTCGTAAACAAGATCCTGCTGATTTTAACCTTGAAGGACAAAGCGAGGCAGAGACGTGTCAAYGGTAGCACTAAAAAGCCTGATCTAAAGATTTAATTACATGGTTAGGTTGTTTTAGTGTTTAGCTTGCAAGATTAACATAAATTTATTGTGGGGTCTTTGTTATTTCTTACATGTTTGCATTGTGTTGCATCTGCTTGTCTTCTCTGAGCAAGCTTGTAATCATAACATCTACATTAAAACAGATTTTCACCTTCATTTTGATAGAAAACTGGTGCTCCTGCTTTATGTTCTCTTTTGCAGTGCTCTGTGAGCATCTCTAAGTAGAACTGCTAGGTCTAAAAAAATTCTKCCTGTAAGATTTTATTTCTCTTTTCATTCTTTATCAGTTCACTTCGCGTCCTACTTTTTTCTTCCCCTCAGGGAGGTAAAATCCCGGTGCGGTGGACGGCTCCGGAGGCGATCGCCTACAGGAAATTCACTTCGGCTTCAGATGTCTGGAGTTACGGGATCGTCACCTGGGAGGTGATGTCTTACGGAGAGAGACCTTACTGGGACATGAGCAACCAAGATGTAAGTCTGCGCCGAGTTCTCGTCTGTCTCTTGTTGTGTGTTCTCGTCTGATGCCGGTGACTGTAAGAGA